CTCCTTTAACAGTGTATTGTTTCCTATGTTGTAAAATAGGTATCTTTTTTTTTTTTTTTGAGACAGAGTCTCACTATGTTGCCCTGAGTAGAGTGCTATGGTGTCACAGCTCACAGCAACCCCCAACTCTTGGGCTTAAACGATTCTCTTGCCACAGCCTCCCAAGTAGCTGGGACTACAGGCGCCTGCCACAATGCCCAGCTATGTTTTTGTTGCAGTTGTCGTTGTTGTTTAGCAGGACCAGGCCAGGCTCGAACCCACCACCTTCAGTGTATGTGGCCAGTGCCCTTACTGATCTGTGGGCGCCAAGCCTACAGCAGTTCTCAAAGTGAGGTACATGAACATTTGAAATCTCAAGGCCCTTGTGGGAGTGTCCGTTAGGCTAAAACTATTTTCATAATAATTGCTAAATATTATTTGCCTTTTTTGTTGTATTGACATTTGTACTAATAGTGTAAAAGCAATGGTGGGTAAAATTGCTGGTGTGATTGATGTCATGTCACCACACCGTATAAATAGTCATTATATTCTTCATTGCCATGCACTCGCAAGTAAAAATAAATGCACTTTCATTTAAGAGTGTTCTTTAATAAGCAGTAATTGTTTTTACATACTTTCCTCCCTGACCCCGTCTTGAAACACATTTAGTATATTGTTAGCTGAACTGTTTTTCTTTTGATTGAAAAATGAAAATTGTACATATTTATCTTATTTTGAAATATATATACATTGTGGAATACCTCACATACTTTTTTTAAATAAATGACAACACATAAAATCTATCTCTTCAGTAATTTTGAAGAATATAATACATCATTGTTAACTAGCAAAATGAATTAAGTGGGCCTGTCACTTTAAGGAAAACTAATAGTGTTTATTACCAATGAAAAAACATGAGTTTTCAAGCGGAATTTTGGAAAACTCATATTCACCATAATGAATATGTCAATGTCCTAACATTCAAAGACTTTACTGATGAGATTGGTAATGATATTAATAAATGTGGTTCTTTGATATTATATGATGAAATATATAAACTTGGAAGATCTTGCATAACTCAGTGATCCACATTTTTTCCCACATGATCAATTCATGATGTTATAAAATCATGCATGGGAAAAAGATTTATTCAAAGTGCAAAACAGACCATGGATTTTAATGTAGAGAAGTAGGAAAAATTCATTGATGGGGTTTCAGAGTCCATATTTAAAACTCACCTTTGGCTTGGCGCCTGTGGCTCAAGTGGCTAGGGCACCAGCCACATACACCTGGTGGGTGTTGGGTAGGTGGTGGGTTTGAATCCAGCCCGGGCCTGCCAAACAACAATGATGGCTGCAGCCAAAAAAGATGGCTGGGCATTGTGGTGGGCACCTGTAGTCCCAGCTACTTGGGAGGCTGAGGCAGGAGACTCGCTTGAGCCCAGGAGTTGGAGGTTGCTGTGAGCTGTGATGCCATGGCACTCTACCCAGGGTGACAGCTTGAGGCTCTGTCTCAAAAAAAAAAACCTAACCTTTAAGAAACTACCCCTTGTTGAGTTTGAGTATAGTACAAAGAAGAATATCCATCGTGATAGTAAAAAATTGTTAGACTACTCCTTCCTTTTCCAACTACACATCTCTGTATGGCTTTTCTTCATTTCCTTCAACTAAAACAACATATGTCAATAGATGGCATCAGAAGCAGGGGTGAGAATCCAGTTATCTTCTACTAAGCATGACATAAAAGAAATTTGCAAAGATGTAAAACAATGTTACTCTTCTCATTTTTTTTTGCTTTGCGAAATATAATAATTTTTCATAAAAATATGTTAGTAGGCTATTCTTGTTATTTTAAAATTAATACATAATTTTTAATTTTCTCAGTTTTAATTTCCAATATAGTAAATACCAATAGATAACTCACATATTCAAGAGTTTTTTGGACGATAATTTCTTGAAATAAAATAGTTTGAGAACCACTAGGTGATAATACCTCCATTTAGATTCCTCTGGTCTACAAGTGCTTCTCAGTAGAAATAGTAGAATCTCAGGACTTAAAATTGCTGATAAAATGAGAATATTCTTTGTTTCTTTCTTCAATTTAAAATTTAAAATGTGATTTCAAGTCATAGGTCAATAGGTCATGCACAAAAACCTGAAAATACTAGTACTGTTTTTGTCTCCTTGTATTATGTATTAATGTTTTCTTAATATTTTATAAGTGACACTCTTCATAATTTCTATAAAAGCAAAATTCTAGAGGGCAGTCTGATCACTGTTTATGTTAACTCTAATAGCCATGTTGTATATTATAATTATCCCAGAAAAGCAAGCCTGATTATCATTAGAAAGATATATGGGTGACCTTTTAGGGTGTTTTAGAATTTCACTAGCTAGGCCTGGACCATAAATGTTATTGTTGCTGAATGCCATTCTCTTTTGTAGAACTGTCACTTTGATTTGGATAACATAGGCTCATACAGTAGGTTTAGTACTTTAATACCTTGGCTCATAAATCATCTTCATCTTGAATATTCTACTGGTGAAGTTTTGTGTAACTGTTAATTATATTGTTGATTATGAATGTTAGGGATTAAGATGAATATATAGATACATTTTTTGCTTTTGTGCATGGGAAAGGAATTTTTAAATTTGGAAATATATGATACAATGAAAGAATTTTTTGAAGACTGAACCTATACTTTGCTCTCCCCTTCCCCTACCCCTGTGTACTAGGTCATTAATTGTCCTCATATCAAAATTGAGTTGAACCTATACCTTGAAACAAGAGCAAACCTTGCCTCTTGGACTGGAGCACCTCATTAAGAGAAGTATTGGAGAGCCCCCAACTCTTTGTACTGTGTTAAATATACATAATAGTAAGCTTGCTGTTCATTGTAGATATTATATTCTTTTTTTTTTTTTTTTTGGCTGGGGCCAGATTTGAACCCGCCACCTCCGGTATATGGGGCCGGCCCCCTACTCCTTTGAGCCACAAGCACTCTCCTAGATATTCTTTACTCTTCTGTCATAAGAGCTATACGTGGATAGGCTGTCCCACCCATATGGGATAGAATAGACTGAATATGTTTAATACTCAGAACTGCAACCCAGTCCTCACAGAAGTTCCTCTCCCGTAGGTTACCATTCCACCATTACGTGACCCTTTGAAAAAGGCACAATGGGACAAGGATAATGAAAAAAGAACTCTTCTTCAGTGTGAGACTGGTACTTAGTTCCTAATTGTTATGTGATTTCATGGTCCAAGAGCAGTTACAGTTGCATTTAAGGGTACTAATTCAGGTTATCAATATTCCCACAGGCAAAATATATACAATGAAAGAATTTAAAGAGATTGAGAAGGCCAAACTGCGTTCAAGATTCCCAAGCATTTCCAACTCAAGGGACTTTATCACTCCAAATGAGTGGCTTAAACTGCCTACAAGATACGTAGAAAGTGAATTTTGTAAAAGGAGCAGGTAATGGTTAATATACTAGAAATTACAGAAACTTCTTAGACTTTGAAACTCCTTTTTTGAGAGAATGATATAAATTTTTTATACTTAATGATTTCTTTTAAGAAATACATTTTTAGGCCAGGCGTTGTGGCGGGCACCTGTAGTCCCAGCTGCTTGGGAGGCTGAGGCAGGAGACTCGCTTGAGCCCAGGAGTTGGAGGTTGCTGTGAGCTGTAATGCCATGGCACTCTACCCAGGGGGATAGCTTG